TGTGCTTCTCTTTCAACAAGTCATTTGCTTGCAAATCAAAGAGATACATCTATAGTTCGACTGGCACGTCATCAAGGTTACAATCAAATGAATTGTGGAACAGAAGAATACCACTTTCAATTCTGTCAAATGCTTATTTAAGTCACTAATAATTTTCTTCGGAACTCGAGGTTGACATCTTCTGCGATTCCAGCGCAAAACTCTTTGAAACACTGAAAATGAGAGAAGTTTCCTCCTTCCAGTTGTGCTTCAAACAATGATAGCTTTCTCCGAAATCCTTTGATTCTGTAGAGATTACAGATTAGGTTATCCTTTTCCTGAAGTTTCAAGTTCAATTCATTCATGTGGGATGTGATGTCAACCAAAAATGACAACTTTGACAGCCAGGTAGGATTTGACAGAAGTGAATCAGCTCTATCCTTTTCGGTGAGAAAATTATCTATTTCTTTTCGGAGCTTGTAAAAACGAAACAGGACTTTACCGCAGCTGAGCCACCTCACTGCTGTGTGATAAGGCAAGTCACAGAATTCAGAATCAATTTCTTCAAGAAAAGCCTGGAACTGGTGGTGATTAAATGCATGACCCCGAATGAAGTTCACAGCAGAAACGACTGGTTTCAGTACGCAAGAAATATCTTTCCCACAGAGTGCTTGCTGATGTATAATGCAGTGTATAAACAGAGCGCCCGGGAGTTGAAGATCTTCCAACTTAGTTCGTATCTGTCCCACCAGACCCTTTCTCACTCCAGCCATGTTTTTTCCTCCATCAACTGTAACACATTGAAGCTGATTCCACTGAAGGTTATAGCTTTGCAAAGTTTTCTGCACTTCCATGAAAATGTCTTCTCCAGCTGTTGTTCCATGCATGCTGCAAACGGATGCCAACTTTTCTGTGATTTGAAAGTCCATATTAACACCACGAATGAACACGAGAAGTTGGGATGTACTCGAGAAATCAGTAGACTCATCCAGCACCAGAGAATGCCACAAAAAGTTCCTAGTTTTCTCGCATATCTGTCACCATGTTCTATCCAAGTTCTTCTGTTCTCCGCACAACTGAACTCGCTGAAAGACTGATACTTCCAAACAAATCGGCTTTCTCAGGACACAAGTCATTTGCTGCTTCCATCATACACTCTTTGATGAAGTTGCCGTCAGTAAACGGTTTTCCTCGCTCTGCCATCTTATGCACTATTTTGTAACTTGTACGAGTGACAGATTCATTTTCAGCAAACATTCTTGTGAAGAGATTCCTTTGAGATTCGAAAGTACGTTTCATGAACTCAAATTTCCAGAAAACTTCGAATATGTTGACAGATGTTTTGTTTCATAGTGATGCCGAAGATTGTACTCTTTCAAAACGGCAACACTTTCGTTGCATATCATGCAACTAGCTTTCTGGTTGTTTGTTTCCACAAAGAAGTACTTTTCTCCCCATTCTTCATTGAAAAGGTGACACTCAGCATCTACTTTTCTTTTCTTAGTAGCCATAACGATGGGTTTATGTTTAATTATCTCTCAATAGATGAAGAAAAAATTAAGAAAAAAATACTTGGAAGTTTAATTATCTCTCAATAGATGAAGAAAAAAATGTGAAAAAATACTCGGAAGTTCAGTTATCTCTCAATAGATGAAGAAAAAATTAAGAAAAAATACTCTGAAGTTCAGTTATCTCTCAGTAGATGGAGAAACAAATAATAAGGAAAAATACTCGAAAGTTTAATTATCTCTCAATAGATGAAGAAAAAATTAAGAAAAAATACTCGGAAGTTCAGTTATCTCTCAGTAGATGGAGAAACAAATAATAAGGAAACATACTTGAAAGTTCAGTTATCTCTCAATAGATGGAGAAACAAATAATAAGGAAAAATACTTGGAAGTTTAATTATCTCTCAATAGATGGAGAAAAAATAGAAAAATACTAGGAAGTTTAATTATCTCTCAATAGA